GTATAAGAAAATGATCTACTTAGTAGTGAGATGTGTTAAACTACACTGACCTGGAGTACATACGGTGACATATCTAACCCTCGCATTGGAAACTGTACATATGTTTCAAGCTTGGTTCGTAGGAATGACTGAAATCGAAATCTTTTGAGTTGAAGGGAAAGAACCTAAACGGCACAAAAATATGAAGGGAAGTCAAACACAATCCGACATGAATTGATTGTGATAAATAAACTAGTTAGTTGACGCAAAATGATTGGGTAAACTTCACAGGGTGTCGACAAAGAAACCTATCCCCCCACAGATTTCCAGGCCACCAGACTAAAAGAAAAAAAGTTGCTAATAAGAGATTGATATCAGTACCACAATAGTTTAATGATTTTCATTTCTTTAATTGCAATGGTTGACAGGTTTTGATCTTTCGCTGGTCATTTTTGCAGGCTTTGACACCTCAGTTTTGCATTAATTTAATTTCTATGTCAACATAGGTAAACATAGCATCATAAGCCTTTTCAAGGTCAACTTACATTAGGTAGTCTTTTTATCCAGAACTTCTTTGTTGATTCCTGTTTCTTATTACAATTAGGACACATGTAGAATTCAGATTCTGTTAAGTTTTCTAGAGCTGCAAAATGGGTCATACACTCTGGAACACAATAAGACCTTATTAGAAGTGCATGTAAGTTTACTTCAAATCATCAATATAATCACTGCCCGCATCATCATCAACAACGGCATCATTGGTTTCATGGTATAGTTTACTTTCACTTGCCCTATAATGTTTTTTAGGACCAGAGGTAAGTGTGGATGCAGGATTTTGAGGAATGGGGGGTGGGGGGTCCAAAACCTACACTCAATAAGTGATGTCATTTTTGACGTCATACATACACTTTACCAGTCGTAACACATACACATAACACATAAGCAACAAGTTGCAGATRGAGGGGTATGGACCCACTGGACCCCTTCCCTGGATCTGCCCTTTACAGGTTTGTTAGCATATGTACACTATTTTGTGTTTATGCTCTTGAAATAATAGTCATTATTAGTGTCTTTGGGTGGGGGTTGGGGGGAGGGGGGAGGTAACCATTCAAAACACTGTCCCAAAATGAAACATTCTTTAAATTTGAATAAACACTATACCTGCTAAGTTTTATCTGAACAATATTGATTATCAGTTCATTCTGAGTTAATTTCTCATGTTCAGAGCAACAAGAGGTTTGGCGTTACAGAAAATGTTTTAACTTACAAAGAAATATTTAAAATCTACTTTAAACTTTTTTAACATTCTATCTCTTTCCGTTTCATTTCATATTTGGATATCAAACAAGGTATTTTTAATGTTTTCTGTTTAGTTTTAAGCAAAATGAATGCAGTTTTTACCTCTGGTTACTCCCCCCAAGCTGCAAAGTATTATGGGTGTGTAAAAAATGCAAGATATAATTTAATTCACCTTGTAACTGGCAGGGATTTTCTCTAGACTTTCCTTTTCTGTTTTGATATTCAGGTGGGATTTCAAGAGAAAGATCTGCAAGAGATGAAAATATAAATTTGATTTAACCTGCATCAATGCCAAACAATCAGTTGCCTGTACGAAGGGCGAATAGTGCTATCAAATGGATAWATCCTTATCCAGTGGATAAGACAATGCTGTTATCCAATAAACTTATCYACYGGATAAGATTTTTCTGCAGGATAGCGCTATTCTTCCTTTGTACATTTGGCCCTGATGAATACGATGGGTGTTGGTCGCAACTTGTGACCATTGTAAAACTAYTTCCAGTAAGCAGTTTATTTTTGTATTGTCGTATTTTATCAAAGACCAAAATTGACCAAAATTGACAAAAATTGACAAAAAGATGGATGGATGGACTGATGGATGGATGGATGGAAGGAAGGACAGAAAGACTGACAGACTGATGGACACATGGATTTGCTCCAAATTTAAATACAAGAGTTATAATTATTATGGKAATATGAATGTAACTTACCTAAAAATGGGTCATGTGTCTTTGACTCTGTCATACAAGTGAGACAMGTTACCTACAAGAAATGAAAAACAAAACTTATCAAGGATTTACACCAAAATGTTAGTTCTCGTGAAGGAACCATAAAATCTTCAACATCAAGTAATAGAGACATTAAACAAGAGGATGGCAAGACCAGGAAGGTGATGCTAGGATGATGATGCAAGCATATTTTCAAATTGTTTTTCAGGCATGCACTGTTGTCCTTGCTGTTGCTGTTCTCTCTAAGATGCAAAAAGAAGCAACTGATATTCTAGCGGGACAGCAATGCCAAAGACATTTTTTTTAAATGGTCACATCATTGTTTTGGCTTTGCAGCTGTCCTCAAGGCTTCAATGTGTAAAGTCCTCTAATCGGAAAGTAAAAAACATTACAGAATACGATGCCCTCTATGTTTAAAATCTTTTTATAATAAACACTGGATATATACAGGTAATGATAAAATACAATTGAAATATATCATTAAAGGGTTTCAAGGCAACCATGTTCATGGTCAAATTAATTAACATTTTCTCCTAGTTGGAAAAAAATAAAATCTCTTGTCATACAGAAAAAACACTYAATAATACTTTATTGCAGTTAACTGAGAGTGCAAGGCAGCCATGTCGTTGAGAAAAAGAATACAAATGATCTCCTTTAGGGAATAAAATCTTGCCATGTAAAAACGTTTCTGTCCTCCAGAATGTCTACCATGCACTTTCCAGCACTAAAGAAGGCAACTTTCTGRGTTTTTTGTCGAAAGAAGAGAAGCACAAACAAAATAAAATCTTACTTCACTTTGTAAGATGCCTCCAAATATTCCAGTTACTATGGTTTCTTTGCCAAAGCATGCCTTCTGYGAGAGTAGCAGCTCAGTGTGCACTCTATCTAATAAGTAATGCATGAACTCATGGGCGTCTTGTTGTTGATAGCCCCTAAAATACAAATACACATGTTACTAAGTATGGTGGTATATGGCACAGGGTTGTACAAAGGGTGGATAATGGTATCTGACATATAAATCTTATCCAGTGGATAAATTGATTGGGCAACAACATCTACTTTTCTTTATCTGTCAGACAGTGCTATCCACCCTTCGCACAAGTGGGCCCAGGGCTATAAATAACAGCTGATCAATGGCTTTGATGACCAGCTATAAACATATTAAAAGTTATTGTTTTGTTTCATTATATTTTACCTAAACCTTGGTACCACTTTCCATACAACATGAAATAACGATTCAGGAGAATGACTAACTCCGCCACCCTGCCATAGCGCACAGAGTACCTTGCGGAGCTCTTCTACTAAGCACCTGTTGATAAATCATCAGCAATTAATATACAAAAATAAATATAGATACATATTAAATTTAACTGGTAAAAAATAAATGCTCCCTTGATTTGAGGCTTTTTCTCTAGCATCGCTTCCTCACAAAACACAAAGATGCTAAATTTCCAACTCTACTGTAAGTTAGCGGTTTCCAATCTTTGGTCAAATTGTTTTGTATTTTCAATGACCCATTTGATTTAGAAAGAAATTTATCATAATTTTTCACTGTTTTTGATTCTAACATTTTAAGAAAGGTCAGTTATTGACTGTATATAAATTAATTTAAGAATGGTGCATTTGCCTCTCATGTACTAAATTGAGCTGATCCTCACAGATGTGAAGCAACTTATGCAGCTACAAATCAAAATACTCAGAAAAAATTCTGAGTCTTGAACAGGATCGGAACCCGTGCCCTGGCGATTCCTTGCCTCTCATCTCTGGGATCTTGGGATGGATTTCTGGGTTTGGCATCACTTGGAGTAAAGTTCCTTATTCCTCTCCCTTGATTCAAGGCTTTTTCTTTGGGTTCTCTAGCTTTCCCCCTACACAAGCCACCAGTAAACTTCCTGTAGACTTATCCCCAATATTAATCCCTTTCTTACCCTTCATCTGGTTTTCTACTCCTTGTGAAGTACGGCATCTTGTTAAGAGAGTTTTCTGCTCTAAGTTCAAAAGCTGGGAGCTCCTTGAAGTAGCAGCTGAAGGGCTGAATGTTACTAAAAAAGAAACAAAAGAAACAAAAACAATCAAAGAACAAACTTTGCTGTTTATAATTTACATCTGTAATTCTGATGATAGATTATAAGCCCGAAAACTTGGTGATAGAAAATGACATATTTGGTTGAGAAAACTYGTGTTTGACAATAGCTTTCTTCACCTTCTGTATGCTGTATTTTTGAATGGAGCATGGGAAAAAGCTGTTTTATTGCAACTAAATCTCATACTTGCACTCTTAAATATAAAGTTCTTTAATGACTTATTACCAGTTACAAACCTCAACGACTGCAATATTGCATTCATGAAGCAGGTATTGCCAAGATTTCGAAGTCCTGGTAGCTCCTTTACTCTGCCAACATTTTCTTGCTATATAGTCACAAACATAGAAGAAAAAACAACATAAAATTAAGTTCAGATAACATTTTTCAGTTRGGTTTGGCATATCAAAAGGTTCATCGTGAAGCATAACATTATTTCCCATTATTTCTTTGTTAATTTACAAGAACATTTGCAATTTTCTTTTCTTTTCCAGGAGTTAAAAACCAAATTCAAGTGAAAATACAAGTAACTTACATCATCTTTGGAGCTCCTCTTAGACTTTGTGTGGTGTTTACATTCATCTTCTATCTTGCGTTTTCTAGGACTTTAAGAAGAACCATTAAAATATGTTTTCAAGAACTAAATAGAAACACAATTATTCTTTCTATTGGAATTTAGAACTAACTTAAAATTTAATTTTTGTGGAAAAAGAAAAAGTGGAGGACCCAGACAGAAAGCTCTGAAGCACAGGAGAGAACCAATGAGCACATATCTGACTCACATGTGACACCGAGTCCAAGAATGGAACCAGGGTTATATTGATGGGAGGCGACCACTCTCACTGTTATGTGAGTTGTGCTTCCCAAACATACACAGAAAAATACACTGATGTTTAATTGCTGGACATGAGGTCTTTATAGAATTCTTTAACAAAAATCTTAAAATTACTCTCAAAGCAGATGTTTTGTTGGATACCAAAATGTAGCACTTGGGCTCCCTGTGTTCTCAATTCCACAGGAAGCCCATACTATCAAAAGCTTTTTCTCTCAGTAGAGTTTTAGATTTTAGAATATMAAATTTTCCCAACATTTGGTATCTTTTTGATTTCCTTTCCATGCCTTAACGTGGTTAAGAAAGTCTGACGTCATAATTTTTTGACGTCACACGATCTAGGAGCCCAACGCATGATGGTTTAGTAATGCAACATGGCCGACCATCCCCCAAAACACAACACAACACGAAACAAGACGGATAAAACCCACAAATACACTGACTATAACCACTAATTCTACCTTAAATCTTATATCAATAGCAAATAAGGCGATCTACGTGGCTAATTATAAGGTATTAGACATGGGTCGATATATTTTCGAGGGCCGGTTTTTGAGAGTCTCGTGCAAGACCCCTCACCTATTTTGTTGTTGCTCCACTATCATGTCTCTTATTCGTTGAATATCTCCGCTCTTGTTATCATTAATCACAAATTCATCACAGGAATAGCTGAAAACAAGACAGGGAATATCAATTTGTAGCATTGCTATGTAGATAATAAATGTTAAGTCATAACACTTCAAAATTTGAATTCTACTTGTGGGWAGTCCAGAGATCACAGAGTACAAATACCGTAGGAAAACGTACCAAAATGCAGCCAAACTTTGATCAAGACATAAGCAGTGATGGGAGTTTTTCTCGTGGTGCACCTTGGCATGAGCATTGACATATCTAAAAGAAAAACATTACATTACACCAAATACTGAAGCTCAATAAACGTAGAGTTGACTTTGATCCCACATATTTCAATGACGTTATTTCACACTAATGTAGTATTTATTCTTACCTTCCACAATTGACGGCACCACATTTGAGACAGATCCAAGAACTCTTTGTAGACCGGCAGACTAAAAGAATGAATAAAAACCTCAAAGATGAGTACCTCCCCCTTCACTAGAGTCCATACATTGAAAACAAGGTTTTGGTTTTCATTGCTGTCCTCATATKCACCTGAACAAGTCCAATGGGATGCTTTTTCTGTTCTTATCTTATGTATAAGCTGTGGGCCTATTTTGACCGACTGCTCCACGTGTGAGCACTCCATAATATAGTGTTTGGGGAGAAAATTTGATTAAAATCGAGAGAATTAGCCCAAGTTTGACCYTATTTTCTCCCCTTTGCTCTTGAAATTTTGCAAAATGTGCGACGGTGGTGGATATGCGCGCGCGGTGTTGCGAACGGTTACAAACCCTTTCAACCAATCACAGCCTTCGTTAAATTCTCCAAAACCGGATATCCATTTAAACCAATCAAAAACGCCAATAAGTTAAAACTCATTGGACCAATCAGAAAAGAGTTAAATTCGAATTTTCGTACTATCGAATGATATGGCGTATTAGAAATAATAACTATGACATCATTGTGCTTGTCACGCGYCAGGAACGCCTGAAAAGTTGACCAATCAAATTCATGCTTAGATGGTATTTTAGATTCTAGACAAATAATAATTCATGTTAGAAATACAAATCTATGACATCACGGATATTAAATTGTCACGCACACTAAATAATTAATTGACCAATCAAATGAAAGTTTAGATAAGAGGTCTTATTTACAGCAAATAAGAAATGTTTTTAGAAATAATAATCTATGACATCATATTGGAATGTCACAGACGACGAACGCCTTGTTGGAAGTGTTTTTTCTCCTACGCTTGAAGACAATATTTGACAAAACTGCTGTTTATTCTGTTATTTTCGTTATTATATAATGTATATATTTACAGTAAGATAAAAAACTAGATTGGCAAGGTAAGTCAAAGCTAGAAAAATTATATTCGAGCTTTGAAATATAATTCTAAGTGCGCTAATTTAATAATTTTCATGCTTCTTGATTGTAGTTGTTCCAGAGAATGTTTACATCATAAACAAAGAGGTTCTTGTCACTTTTTAACCAACGTGTGAGGCCAGATTACTTTAGAAATGAGGATTATATTTGGAATGGAACCTACTAATGAATATGCAGCTTTGGTGGTTTATGGTGTAATAGTCTTAGTGGCATTACATGTTGCAGCACTCGTATCCTTTTTAGTTCGCACTTCACATCAAGATAAACTCATATTTGACCTCGAAATTTTTTCTTACAATCTTATTAATAATGAAAGTTATTTTCAATATATAGTTTTATTTGCCTTTTTCCTTAACTTTACCTCAGGGATACTGGTTATTTACAATTATTCGGCCACCAAATGAGGCAAATCTTCAAAGAACGAATCCAAAAACTGAGAAGTTCCATTAACAAGCATTTGATATTTCCCAAGAATTTCGCAAAATTTAGCAAACTTATTGTGTTATTGTTGAAAAATTATATTCCAAAGTACTAATCTTATGATATTTTGAGAAAAAAACACAGCAGTTTTTAAGAAGTGGACAAACCTTTTGGAGGAAATTGCAAACTACGTAAAGACAGACAGACATACTTGGAATACATAGGAAGAGATATTGGTCAAAATTTATATATTCCATCAGATATTACATAATGGTTATAGATTTTAGGCTATGATTTTAATCATTAAGTTTGGTTATCAGCTTGTTTTGAAAAAGACATCAATTATTTATAGAATATTTAATCATATGTAAATCGCAAAGTATATGGAATTACAAGTAGTTTTCATATCTATGTTAATAAGCCTTTTCATAGTTTAAGAATCGATTCCACTGCGCATGCGATTTTATCCCGAATTTCTCACCTTCTTTTGTTTAATTAAGAACAAAAGA